TTGTTGTCAGGTACTGTGAGGTCGGCTCCAATCACAGGACCCCGTGCCCAGCGGAACGGAACCCTGCCTGGTCCTGTGCCAGCCTCACGACCCTTGCTACACCTGAGCCCATCGCTGCAGCCACGGTGTCAACCCATCTCACTGAGGGCCTTGCCCTTTTTCACTGACCCTCCACTTTACCAAGCACAATATCTTTCTGGTCCGTTCTGGCAACATGACCAAAGTAGGTGAGACGAAGTGGGGTGATTAAGGTTGTGTGTCAACTGGGCTAGACTTGGTCAAGTGGCTGGGCAGCCCAGTGGTAGTTACTCCCCATGATGAAACTGGCAATCTACTCCATGGTAGGATCTACCACAAGCAGCTGACAGCTGAGTAGCTGCTTTAGGGATGTGGTCTGCTTCCTATATATAAGAAACAGCTTTGGGAATGGTCTCTAGCTTATGGCATGCTTGAACCCTGCACACAGCCACATCGTTGTTCAGCAGCCTGCCACGCTCTGGTAATCTTGGGACTCTGAAGGGACTTAAATGAATGGCCTGCCATGTGGTTTGGTAACATCGGGACTGTGCCTTTTTGCTTGTCAACCTTGGGCTTATCAGCCTCAGCAGCCAGCAGCTAGCTGTGTGCATAGAAGAAATGCCTCTAGCTTCAGTGGGCCGGGAGCAGAAGGCAGAGCTGGACCCCAAGGCTGAGGGGCTTTCACCCAGCCGCTAGAGTCTGGCACTGTGAACTCAGACTCAAAGCCTCCAAACTGTGAGAGAATAAACTCCTGTTTGTTCAGCCACTCCATTGGTGGTATATTCCTGTTAGAGTGGCACTAGGGAACCAGAACATGAAGTCTGGCCATCCTCACTTCCAAGGAGCATTCCGACTGCACCTCCTCCAGGACGGACCTCTTTGCTCTTCCGGCAGTCCATGGTACCTTCTGTATGCTTCATCAACACAATACAAAGGCATCACTTCTTCTTCAGTCTTCCTGTTCACTGTCCAGCTCTCACACACATATGTTGTTATAGTCATTAGCTGC